TGTGTGACTAGATAATAAGTTTTATTCATTATTTGGCAAACAGTTTGTGCATCAGTTTCAGTCTGTGGCTTGCTCCTGAGTTGCAACTGGTCCAAATTTTCTATTCAAACTGTGATTGGTCACCTAATTTGCATGTTCTTGTTTCTTGGTCCCTGATTGGATGACTGAAACTCTGGAAAGTACTTGGGGCCCAGTTTTGCTAGGGGCTGAATAAGCCAGCAAAGTAGAAGGCAATACCTACTCCCAAAGAATTCAGTTATGCAGGACTTTAAAGGGGAGCATAATGTTTACAAAATGATTTCAGGCTTTAAAAAGCAATAGTTTTGTAAATCTTTTCAGTAGACCAAATGTATTTTGTTTATTTTAAATTCTCCTAAATAATATTTATCTGTTTTCAAAAGGAAAGTTAAAGTCGGTTGATTAATCAGAGATAATCCAGGATTACTGGACATCCTGCACTTTTTTTTTTAGTAGCAGGGAGTGCTTTAATTAGAAAGGTACTAATGTAGATTAGGGCATTAACTGAACTGGACTCCTCCCATATCGCCAATGAAATGACGACTACATTGGGAGAGCCATTTTGATAATCAGAGCTCAAAAATATTTCATTAAACAGTACCCAATAATCCTCGGTGTGATTATTAAAATATCCCACAGTGTGCAAGGCATTTGAGACACACAAACAATTTCCCAACTCCAAAGAGTTTGCAATCTTAAGTGCCAGCTCCTGCAAACCCTTATGTGAGTATACCCAACTCACACAACTAATTCCACTGAAGTCAATGGGCTCATTCATGAGAGTAAGGGTGTGCAAGACCAGCCCTAAGAAGATAATTTTCAGACAAAGGATATCAAAACTGTAATCTAGCTGAACAAAATGCATTTCTTCTTACCCGGCTAAGAACCTTCAGCATTAAATATTCCATGCAGTGCCAATCAAAGTGATGGTCTAGAGAGAGAGAGAGAGTATAGTGCCATGAGCAAATCAGAATGGTGGAGAAAAATGGGAAGAAATAATTTCTTCCCTCTATTAAAAAACAAAGTTATGATCACACTAAGGATTCGTTCATCTGTCACAGAAACCAACCATTTAAAAGGCTTGAAAAAGCAGATGAAGAAAACCCCCCATTGTACTGTACTTTCTGTCCAATGGGATAAAAACATTAACGGATAAAAGGATTGTTTTTGCTTAATGAAGAATCCTAGTTTTCAAATCTCATTGGACTGTGTACATCCAACAGGATTTGCTGTTCAGTAGCCTGAACTTTACAATTCTGCTGTGATCATGTAATCAACCAAGTCTTATTTTAATTCAGATACTGTGTGTTCTGACGAAGGCTCTTTGGTCTCCATGTAATTGAGAGTTTCAAGACTAAAGAAATCAAAATGCTTCTGTGAACTATGTGAATTTTTCTGTATTTACAATTAGCTTAAGGTATTAATATTAAAAGTAGGGAGCTGCATCTAATGACTTTTTGGAGTAATCTGAACCATCTGCCTCTAGATACTAAGGAGTTCACCACTTTAATCCAGATTATGGCTGACGAACTGTTTTTGGCATCCACTTCTCACTAGCATTGTGCCCTTGAAGAGCTGCTGAGGCTGTAGAAATTCCCTTGCTGACAAACCTATTGTTGTCTTTCGGGAGCCTTTTTTGGTTTTGTTTTGTTTTTAAAATTTTCTTGGGAAGAAAATGGCTTTCTTAATGAAAAGCATGTTGAGCAACCAGGTAAAGAATTTAGGACTTGGTGGTGGAGGTGAGGAAAGCAAAGAAGAAAGTGGTCCTTCCGACCCAGCTGCAGCAGCAGGAATGACTAGAGAGGAATATGAGGAATATCAAAAGCAAATTGTTGAGGAGAAGTGAGTACACATTCCCTTATTATCAATGTGTGACTAATTCATGATGACTTGGCTCATCTGAGAATAACCCCAGAAAAAGTCAGTACATTGTCTCCTTACCCCACGTTCCTATTTTTAAGCATAGGGAACATTGCCTTGCCGAACAGCCTCTCCTAAACAAAAGCTCATCTAGCTGTAAGATGTTTTGTATCGTGGTTTCATCCTTCACCCTCATTTCCAATCCTCCCCACCTCCCCACACACTCAGCTACACATCTTGTGCTGGTGTTGCTTTCTGCTTCCATATGGGCAAGAGAATTTCTTTCAAGTTTATTTCTGTAGGTTTAATGGTGTAAATGCTGTTGCAATCTAAGAATGCAGTGGTTAATGCTGAAAATCACATGATCTACCCTCTTAAAACATAAATCTGATATGCTTAAAATATTTAATCTCCCCCATTTATCGTTGCAAAAATTGAGGACAGGGTAAGAACGAAGAATGTAAAGCTGGTAATGTTTATTCGAAGGATGCTTGACTAATTTCAAAACTAGAAATTTAAACCATTTTTTCAGTTGTCCAAACTCTATTAAATGAAGGAGAGAGGTTTTGATCTGTGTTTATAGCTCAGGAATTTTATTTGGCTGATAATTGCAATCCGTAACCACATTCTGACAAGTAAAATGCAGGGGCACTGTTTACATAGCAGATATCAAGTAAAATAATGAGTTTCAAGCAGGTAGGAGTTTAAACCCTGTAGAATTATAAAGAAAGACAATTGAATTCTAAATCTCCACTGCATCTAGTTCACTAATGATCAATTACATAATGGTTGTCTAAATCCTACATTTAAGATGATTATAGGTGAAAGGTTAATGACTTATAGAATTTAAGAGGTATCCAGGTCTATATTTAGCAGCAGCAACTTCAGTCATAAAATTCTGAATAAATGTAACCTGTTTGTAAACACAATTCAAAATGTTAATTTCTTTTGTGGTACATTACATAGGGGGAGATTATTTTTTCTTTTCAATCAGCCTGCAAAAAGATGCTGTGCTGGAATAGATAAGCAAAGCAAGAAATCCGGAGAGGAGGAAAGATTTGAAAGAGAAGAGCATGTTCTTTTAATAATGTTTTGAAGCCTGCTGTGTTTGTTAAATATGAAGCTGTGCTATAAGTCAATAACTGAACAATATTCCTTCCAGCACAGGTGGGAATAGGGGAACTGTAATGAAAATGGTTGTGTTTTTGCACAGAAAAACTGAATAATGGAACTGGACACTGCACTGGTTCTGTAATTGTATTTCAGTTCATCCTGGAAACATGATCACAGATGCAACATCTGGTTTTAGTGACCTCCTAATTTTACTCAGTTTTACAGCTGCACAGCCTGAGGATCAAAGAGGTTAAGTGACTTGCCCAAGGTCACCCAGTGAGTCAGAGGCTCAGACTGGATTAGAACCCCTGACATGACCCCGTTGTCTCCACTATTTTTGTTTAACCTCTAACCAACACTGCTTAGGTTAAAAATGTAAAAATGCATCAATCACCATTTGGAAGGCATGTAAATGAGCAAATGAGAGACTTGTTAAAAGCAAAGGGGTCCTCTAATGAGTCACATAGTCCATTCTCCTGCATCATAAAAAGGTTGATTTCACTATTCATGATAGATGGGCATCAATTCTAGCCTTGATTTTCTAGAACTTCATCTCTGAAGTCACACTTTGACCCCATCTTCTTTATAAAGATTTGAGGATAGCAATAAGTGGGAAATGACTATCTACAAGTATGTGATGGATGTAAAAATGCAGAAAGAGAATCTCTTATTATTGTACATGGGCAGGCTAGTTAGAGTATTGGGATGACATTAGGTGAGAAAATGTATGCTGAATATCAGAAAAAGTTCCTGAGTGAGATCTATTCGGCTGTGGAATACCTTTTCAAGTGGATGCTTAAAACTACCTTACGTGAAACTTTAGAATAGGTTCCACAGAAAATAATGTTGCACCAGCAAGAGGGTGAACTACACGACCTAATAGATATGTCACAGTTGTTATGAATCTACAACAGCCCATTAACCTCTAGTGGACAGGAACAGGAAACTGCATGGTAGGCAATTGCACATTATCTATGCAGGTTTTTAACTTTAAAGGAAGTTAAATAAAAAATAAATTAAATTCTGCTAAATCCACATATATTGTTTTGAAAGCTTATGGTTAAGATTTGATCAAACCACTTTGGTATATGTACAAAAACCAAACAGTTTATGAAAAAAAATCATGAAAATTAAGAAGTTTGGAGAATGTGTGTGTGTGGGGGGGGAGGGGAATATTTCTCAACCAGCTGTAGTGCTATCAACTTTACAGCTGGAAATATAAACAATCTAACCAAAAATCACAGTGAATTTTTTTGAAATCAAATTAAGTAAAATTTTACCTTGATTCAGTAAAATGGCCATTCATAAATTTGGCAGTGACGAATGGCTGTTTACCCCTTATTTGGCTTCAGTCTCGGAAGGTATTTGATAGGAATGGCCAAATCCTGGAGTTTTAATTAAGGACTGTTGCATTTGGCCCAAAGGTAGCATCCCTATAAAATATCACTTGGAAACAATGGTCATGTGAGGGGTAAACAAACCTATGACCACTTTTTTTTTATTTAATTTTTTTATCCCATTAAATTTGTGGCGATATAGCTGCCTCCCTTCAACAGGCACATTGTTACTGAATGGAGGAAAAGATTCTCCTCTCAGATTATGAGGAAAAGATTTTAACTTTCAGATTCTGTTGTACAGAGCTCTCCATTGATCTCAGTGATAATCAATGCAAGATCCAGCCACGTAGAGAAAACAAAACTGGAGGAGAGACCAAAACATCACTTATGTCATTAGACTTGTCCTTCATTTCTTACAGAGATTAATGACCTACTAGACTAAGCACAGGCCTGGTAATCAGGGACTCCTGACTTCTAGTGCAACCTCTAACCATGACTCCATTTGTAGCTTTGGACCAGTAACTTAACTTTGTGACTCAAGTTCCCCTGTAAAATGGGCATAATACTAGCCTACCTTCCATAGGTGCCATGAAGCTGACTAGTAAATGTCTGGAAAGAGCTCTACATATGTTCGTTGTTGTTTGTTTAGTCTGATACAGACTATGCTGTGTTAAAGCATAAAATGGGATGAGAATGACTTCAGCCTGTAGTTTTCTGTAGCTGAGTAATTAGTTCCGTGACAATGACAAGTTGTCACATGATAGGTTTCTGGTTACACACATATTATTTTGATTTTCAGGATGGAGAGAGATGCAGCGTTTGCACAAAAAAAGGCAGAGAGAGCTTGTCTGAGGGTTCATCTGAGAGAAAAGTACAGGCTTCCTAAGGTAAGATGAAGTCACAATCATGATCTAGTTCGCAGGCCAATTTTAAAACAGTTGCAGTCCGACCTGCTGTCTGGCTGGGGAGATTTCCATACCCATGTCATCTTCCAACAAATGTGCACATTGAGACTATCAAGTCTCTTGGCCAAAGAGATTCCTATGCTACACTACACTTCACATAACACAAAAATGGAGGAAGGCTGGCTCTAGGTTCTCAAAAGCGACTAGTGATTTTCAGTGCCTCCATTTTAGGTGCCCAACCTGAGATGCTTTAAAGGGACTTGATTTTTAAAGGGTGCTCAGATAAATCTCCATCAAGTTTGGCACACAAAATTGCTAGTCACCCTTGAAAACCCTGTCTCGTTAAGGCGTGGGGATTGGGCTTCGGCGACCTTAGTTTTATTCCTGGAAGAGATGGCTGAAAATTTTCCATCGGTATGGGTTTTTCAAGAAAATTGGGGTTTGATCAAATGAATTTTTTGGAAAAATGTGTCTGCTTTAGAAAACTTTGATGGTTTTTGTCAAAAATATTTTGTTTTTTCCAAGGAAAAGTCAAAATTATCCATGGGGGGGTGGAGGGGGGGACATTTTCTGACCCACTCTAATTCCTGGCTCTGCCACAGCCTGCCTCTTGCTTTGGGACCCAGTATAGTATCACTTAATCTCTCTGTGCCCAAGTTTCTCCACTTTACCTCGCAGGATTGTGAGGCTTCATTGATTAATATTTATATGAGCTACTTCAGATGGGCAGCCCTATGGGAGTGAAAAATATTTTAATGATAAAATAGTGTTACTGAAATAATTTTAAAAAATCTTATGGTTTCTTACTCCAGTTGTCCCACCTACAATAATAGGGGTGAACTGCCCTTTGCAATATTATCGGGTATCACCACAATTAAATATTTGGGGTAAAATTTTCAAAAGTGCCTAGGTGATTTAGGAGCCTACATTCTTTTTTTTTTTTAAGTGACACACTGTGGAGGCTAAGTTCCATTGATTTTTCAATGAGACTTCAGCTCATAAGTGTGTTGGTCATTTCTGAAAATGGGATATAGGCTCTTTTGAAAATGTTACCCTTGGTTCTTGGTATGTATGATTAAGCATAAAAGGGGAGGACAATTTGCGGGTGAGACTTGTGTAGCTTTAGGTTCCTGTTACTCCTCAGTGAGAGAATTTTGGAAGGTCTGTAAGCAGAGTGCTTTGGCAGCAAAAGAAAAGAAGAAAAGAGGAAGCTGGAGCTGAATTGGCATTGGCAGTGGTTTGCGCATTGGCCTGTTAAACCCAGGGTTGTGAGTTCAATCCTTGGGGGGGCATTTAGGGATCTGGGGCAAAAATCCATCTGGGGATTGGTCCTGCTTTGAGCAGGGGGTTGGACTAGATGACCTCCTGAGGTCCTTTCCAACCCTGATATTCTATGATTAGCATTTGGAGCCTTTTTTAAATTTAAATGTTCATATAGAGGCTGTATACCAAGCATTGCTGCTGGACTATTGTATTACAGAGTCTGCAGTTAAATGACATGATTTAGTTACGACTTAATTATTAGGTTTTAACAGCTGTACTTATACTGTAAATATGGGGAAAGAGTGTGTTTCTAGCTTTGTTCTGTACTGCACTGAACAGAGGGCCAATGCTCAGCAAGACATACACAATAACATTGAAAACTAGGGCTTTCAGCATTTTGATGGCATTGCAAACTCCCACTTCAATGTTGTAGGTTCAAACCCTCTGAACCTTTTGAATGCTGAGTTTCATTTATTCTGCCATTCTTATAAGGTCAGAAGTTTGTTGCAAGTTTGTTGCAATGGGTAGTCTCTCCTTCTCCCATCCCTGTCCCTAATGCCACTAATCAAATATTAACTGAGAAACCAAAAGGTAACCCCAAAAGAAGTAAAAGCTGTCAAGCAACAAAGATATCTGGAACATTGCTAACAGCCTGGGCAAGCTGAGATGGCTTCAGGAGCATTTTAGATAGCATGTTGGAGCTGAATTGGCATTGGCATTTCTTAAGACAGTGGCATTTCCCAGACTGGTATCAAAATGAATATGTAGAAAGATGTATATATGTCTGTCCATAGAGTTAAGTCAATGTGAAATCATAGTGTCTGAAATAGTTGCTCAGAAAATTGACAGGGATTCATTGAGACTCCAGCCTGTTCTATCTGACTTCATGCCTGGCCTCCTCCAGCGGCTGCCAATCTGACCCAAGTATGTGATTCATCTCCACTAATCAGAACTTGCAACCACACCTTTTTCTTTTCTAGTCACTTCTGAGTTCATAGTTGTAGCATTTTGCTATGGTTTCAGCCTGTGGAAAGTAGCAAAATGTATTTCTTTCCTTCTACATTTCTCTGAGACAAGGCCTTAGAGACCACTGTGGAATATTGTGGACCATAAGTCACTGCCACCTGCTGAGGTGGAGAAGGCTGGGGTTTTTTCCACAGTACTTGGGATAACTGAACTACTAATGATCAGTTTTTTCTGATATTGAACTTATTTTTTTTCTCTTATTAGTGGACTTGTCTGGTGGGTTAGGAGAGCTCTGCAGGAAGATCTAAAGATTGCTTTGGTTAACTTAATTTGCCAATTCTCTGCTTGAAATTTCAGCTTTTATTCCCTTTGCTCTAAAAGACTGGTTTGTCCTCATCGGTAATATGTATTTTCCCTTTGATTCCCTACTCAACCCTCTTTCTGAAGGCTAAGAAGCCCTACAAATAATTCTGGGCCACTCAGCCTTCCTGGGTAGCTAATAGCTGTGTGAACAGCTACACTAGACGAGGCATGGATGTAATGCTTAGTCTCTTCACCTTAAGCCCTTTTGTACTGGACATTTCTGTGTACAGTGTGAGCAACTGACTCCGTAAAGTTTAAAAGCCAGCCTTACATCTTCGTTTCCTCAGGCAAAGGTCTGAGTTTACATAATAACACATCTGCTCTTCCAAGACTGCCTTGTAAAACAAGTATTTTTCTGACCACAGTTTAACCAGACCAGGAACCAACTCAGTTTCTTATACAGAATCAAACATCTGCTGCATCAATCAGTACTACAATGGTTGTCCTTGAAAATCTTTACACTTTTTGCCTAGTGCAAAAAGATAAATGGTTCTCTGGCATATTCCATATAAAGTGAGTACATGGACAGTGGGTGGTATAGCAAAATTAATTACAATTGTCTTTGTAATTTTAATGTCCGACTCTTTGAAATGAACGTATTAATCCTCATTACACTTACCATAATTGAGTCACTGTTACCTCGTGCTCCCCACAGCTGTTTGTTGTATCCACCTGTTGTCTCTCATTTTATACTTTTTTTTTCCCCACCTGGAGGGCCTTGCAGTATCAGATCCGTTAATTGTGCCTCATTATATTTGTCTATGCCTTTGTACTTAGCACATTTTAGAATAGAATGAGATGAAGCCGGTTCAAAATTCTGTTGATATAGGACTTGGTCCAGCAGTTTTTGATCATGTGTTTCCAGTGGGGCTATTCATGTAATTTAAGGCTGCATGATCAGGCCCATAATAGAAAGGGTATTGGGGAGCCATGTAAATGGGGCTCCATGCAGGTGCATTGGGGTCTAGTAGTCCATATTAATTGCGAGCCTAACTGTGGGAAAGTGGACAGAAGGTTCAAAATGGTTAAATTACCTGTAACAGGCAGAGTTGGTCATCTGTTGCCTTTTCCCATCAACATTTATTATTATAGATGATTGGACCATTTTATAAACTTCCATCCACTTTCCCACAATTAGGCATAATTCGGGCAGGCCTATCAGGCTCCAATAGGATCACTTCACAGCATTTTAAAGATTCCTAGAGCGTTTCTCTTTCCGTGTTGGATAAAATAGCCATTGTGTACAAATACAACATAAAAGGGTTTTTGGTCCTCAACTATACTGAATTTCTGAGATTTTAGATAGATTCATACTCTCAGATTTTAAGGTCAGAAGGGACCATCGTGATCATCTAGTCTGACCTTCTGCACATTGCAGGCCACAGAATCTCACCCACCCACTCACTCCTATAAATAGACCCCTAACCTCTATCTGAGTTACTGAAGTCCTCAAATCATGATTTAAAGACTTCAGGTTACAGAGAATCCACCATTTACACTAGTTTAAACCTGTAGGCAACCTGTACCCCATGCTGCAGAGGCAGGCAAAAAAACCCCAGGGTCTCAGCCAATCTGACCCAAGGGACAATTCCTTCCTGACCCCAAATATAGCGATCAGTTAGGGGTATATTCCTTTGTCAAGAGTTCCTCTGGATGGCATCGACTGGCACCTTCTTGGAACAGGGGGCATTGTTTTGAGTTCTCTGCTTGGTGTCTTCCTCTGGATCCCTTGTTTGATCCTGTGATCTATACCCCCATCCCTGTTTTTCATTCTCTGTCTCTTGTAATCAGCTGAGTTTCTGGCTCTGTGGCCCTTCTCTCACCTGAGAGGGCGGGTTTTCCTTTGTTTTGGTGGACTCTGCCCCCTGACCCAGGATTCAACTAGGCTGAATCAAGATACATTTTATCGAACATATGACTGCTGAGTCAAGGCCTTATAAGTAAAGTTCTAGTAACTAGTGCAGTGTATGTAAACGTCAGGTTATTGTAGCAGTAAACTCATAACATTTTCCTGCAGTCTTCTTTTACTGGGTGAAAAAGGGTTAGGGTTAGGGTTTATCTGAGATGATGGCCCTATTAAATGTTGAGAAGTCTCCATGCAACTTTGTTCTCTATATTAACTAAGCAGCAATAATGAAATTAACAATCAACAGGGAGTTCAACACATTCAAAATGCCCTCAACTAACAAATTATTAATCCGCCAAGGTACTTCATTCATAATTGCTCGGGGTTACTATCACAGAGGCTATGTAACAGCAGGGAATAAAGAGTCAACCATGGGCCCATCAGCAACCACCCTATTAAGGCCCAACTTAAAGAAAAGTTAAGAAAAAAATCTTCCCATGAGCTGTCAGCTCTTGTAATTTTAACTTTGCCAAAGCACGGATTT